CTTTTGGAGGCACAGGGCTCCAAAAGGATTGAAACCCTACAGCTACAAATCCTGCAGCCATACATCTATCTATCTATAAGCCCCAAGCCCCAAAACCCAAAAGCTTCTACCCTGAGCCCTAAGCCCCGAACCTTAAAAGCCCAAACCTTTTACTTCATACCCGAAGCCTCAAAGAGGCACTGACCGGAGAGAAGGTTCGTATTATAAACTTATATGATAGATTATATCGAATTCCTAGGCTCCTTCCTTCTGTTTAAACAGAACCCCACCCCGACAAACCCCGAACTCCAGCCCAAGCCTTTCTCCCGCCTGTCGGACGACGTCGAAGTGTGTTGGGCGGAGGCCGGGCTTCCAACAATCAAGCTTGGGTTCAGGAGGTTGCCCTTCTAAAAGCAAGTAAAACTGATAGGCTGAACTATATGTATCACTCTCGCGACTGACGGAAGCGAAGGCTAAGCAGTAACAAGATTCGCGCAAAGAGCCGACGCATTAAAGAAGCTTGATGGCACTTTATGCCAACCTTCTTCAGTTTCCCTAAGAAACTTTCCTCGGCCCACACAGCACCAATTATGAACAAGTTCAGTTTGGTACGACGCATTTGGCGGGAGTTGTGAAGCAAGTAATGCAATTTCGGCTTGCATTTGAAGCATTTCCAGCCATTCACGGCACACTCAGCAGCTAGGAACTGCCATGTCTTGCAGTGCTTGCAGATGTTGCTGTGGGCATCCTGCAAGCCACAAGCGATCAGAATGTCATCTTCAGAATCTCTCCCCTCGACAACATCGGGTCCTCAGCTTCATCTTCCGTCAACTGCAGGCCGCAGGCATCTAGGAGTTTGCAGGCATCATAGAGGCTCCAAAGGCAGACCGTGATGAGCTTGGCCATCCGCTCCTGGCTATTTCTTTCGAGAAAGCAACGACATGACAAGCATTTCTACTCCGAAAACTTTTGGAGACAAAAACACTCCTCCGGTCTTGCTTTCGAGAACTCGGCTGCCTTGACACAGAAATACCACATACTGTTTTTGACGGCCATTGCTTTGAACATACTGCCCAGCTCAGCCCAGTCTTCTTGGATGCTGTTGTTTTTCGTGAAAGCCGGCATATTGTGATGAATCCTTGCTTGGGAAACCGATTCGGCCTCGAAAAGTCTAAACTTAAACGTACCACAAGAAACAAGACCCAAACGATACAGTGTATACTGAAAACATCGGCCCATAATCTTGTTTGCACGACAGGTGTTTTTCATGTCCACAGAGAACGCTTTTAGATTAGCTCCGTAGCTTGCATTTCCCAGGAAGCCCAGCCTATGCCAAACATTCAAGCACGAGCCTAGCAGAACGCGAGCCGTGCCCAGCCAAATAATATGCATCGCATCAAAAAAAACAGTCTCCAGCCGGAAGCCTGGCATTTCCATCCATGGAGATGGGTCGCTGTTATGCCGCGCATAATCGCTGTGACTCAGCTCAGTCATCCAGTAAGCAGCGTCCTCACCCAAATGCGTAAATGCCAAATGCTTGTTTGCCATCGGCGATGTGGCAAAACATCTGTCGCATATATTGTTGCAGAGGTAGTAATTTGAAAAAAAGTGAGCCTGCACCCTGGCCTTGAGGTCTGCTTTCCAGCCGAAATACACCAATTTCCATCCGCCTGCCAATCGTTTTCCTTTGAGGCTCAATTGAAATGGACTTGTTAGACGATCATCGTCCATGTCGAACTCTGGCCCAATGCCCTTAAGGCTTTGCCACATAGACCACGACATAGCGGATGCGACTTTCGAATGAGCATATCGTTGCACCTCCTCATCTTTCATGTTTACGTGCGGAATGATGACATTCGGAAATTTGACATCCCAGACCTGCACGCACAGCCTATCCAAAAGCACACGGAACAACTCGGAGACTTCGTTTTGCCCATTTACAAGATCCAACACATAATACTTCAAAACAGTATATGCAGCCAGGCTCATCCGATTCATTGTCCGTGAAAATCGAGGTCATGTTTCACACGATGTACTCAGAATTTCGAAAAAACTCAGCCCCGTCGCAATGGAAACAAACCGGCACACATCCTTGGATGATGATATAATGATGATGATGGTGATGATGATGATGATGTTGATACATTCAGAATGTTTTTACATCGTCATAGCAAACGAATGCCAATTGTTTTCAGGCTATGCGGCTTCCCAAGTCAACATCTTCTTCATTGAAGATTGGATTGTGCTTCCATTCATCCAACTGCCGGCAGTGCTCCCAAAAGGCTTTGATGTCGCTCGAAGAGAATCCACCAGTCATAGATCGTTGAAACTGGCATAATTGCAGGGGCCCTGCTTGCTTAAATTTCGGTCTCTCGCTTCCTACCTCTGTCTCTGTCCTTGTCACGGTCTCTCTCTCTCTCTCTCTCTTCCTCTCGCCCTCTCTCTCCCCATCGCGCTCTCTAGTTCCAGTAGCCCATCCCCCGACCCATCTATGTATTCAGCTAATCGTTTGATCTATGTCGCTGCACCATACGGAACACCTTGAGCAAGCACTTGCCGGCCTGAACAGGCCCTGCTTCATGTACGCAATGAAGAATCTCGTGGGGCAGCAAAACCGGGATTTGGACAATGTCCTTCTCCTTGGATGTAGACACCTCGGCAGAGGTATATAGCACTGATTTCAATATATTGCGACGTGCCGTGAGCTATCTTCGTTTCTTTCATAACACACCGGCCGAAATACTGAAAGTTCCATCCACATAGGATAGGGTTCCAGGTTGAAGCCCCATAAATTTCGCATCCATCTATGAAGATCTCGTTCCTGGTTCGATTGGTAACGTCCATCCGCTCCAAGCGAAGCGAAAGCAATCATTGCTTCATGAGGAACATCCAGCACTAGTGCCCGGGCCAATTTGGCCAATTGAGACACAGTGGCCTCACCAGAACCCAGCATTCCTTTTGCTGCTGTTATTTACAGAGAATGGAAAAGCACTAGATGAACATATACCGACACCATGTACATTTTTATTCACAATCCAAATACCAAAAGACGAACACTGAATATCTTGATAGACCATGAACCAACTGGTTCCCAACTCGGTTATTCTTTGGCTGTCCGAGCAGCTGATGAATTCATCGAAAGTACAGGTGCTAATTTCTTCCACCCTGCGCTTGCGTGCCCCGCGCGTAGTAGCAGCCGGTAAAGCAGGAATTGCAGTACTCTCAGCAGCGACCGATGTAAGCCTCACAGGATCAATGTGGTGAGTCCCGTTTGGGGTGGCTTCAATTGCTAAGTGTAGCTCCGAACCCAACATGCAAGATCGGACAGGTGCTTTAAAGGGACCAGGGCGTGAGACTTGGGGCTTGCTAAATTGCTAAAGGTTCGAGGTTTACAAGAGCCATCGTATGTAGCTCCGCATTGAGTACTACACTGGCTGTTGGGTTTGCGCTTTAAGGTTTTGGGCCAGTTTTGGGGAGTCGGGCTTTTCGGAACAGTTCGGGATCCAGTAGGGTTTGGGGTATACACTGTAGCTTTGGGTGTGAAACTTGAGGTTTCGGGTGTGGGGCTTTTGGAACGTGCTGGATCCATCAGGCTTTTGGCTGCTGGGCCGAAGGTTTGGGGCTTTGGGTTTATTTTAAGGGGTATGGGATCCATTAGGCTTTTAGGTGTTGGGTTTAAGGTTTGGGATCTGAGATTTGTTTAAGAGAAGAGGGTCTGAGTCCCTGAAAACGATTCCTTGGGGGATGCCACTATAAAAAGTTCTCCTATAGGACCGCCAAGCAAAATACATGGCAAGGCTTGAGGCCCAGCCCTAAACAGCCCTAAACCCAAACCCCCTTTAGCCCTAAACAGCCCTAAACCCAAACCCCCTTTAACCCTAAATCCTTAACCCAGGAGTGGGCAGTCATAGCTTCGAACAGTAGCAAGCGAGCCTTCGCAGATCGGACGACGACGATGGTTGCACACCTGGGAGCAGGAGCCAATTCCAGGGCTGGGGTGGGTTCGTCGAATGGTGGGTCTTCTGAGACTAAGTTAGGAATGGGCTTCTGTAGACAAAAGCCTGGCTATCTAAGAAGCACAACTTTCTTGAAGTCCAAGCAGGATGCACACAAGTCCGTAAATCATCTTTTGCTGACTGCTGGCACGAAAGCTGCCACATGCTGTGCTATGCACAACACTTGCTGCCACATGCTGTGCTATGCACAACACTTGCTAAGATTGAAATCGGGATCACTTCACTGAGGCTATTCTTGACTACGGCACTACGGGGGACCCCTACATAAAGGAGCTATTCCAAGTTTATAGCAACAGCCTGCACTAGAAGTCAAAATATCCCGGCATGTGAAACTCTTCACGCGCTCTTGGCATCCACGGTAGCTGCCACGCTTTTGTTCTTCTTGCCGCCCTTCTTCTTTGACTTGGATTTCTGGTTGAGTCCAGCCAGCAAGCCCTTCGCAGAAGCCTGTTTTGATGTTCGAGCTACTGTGTAGGTTCTGGGCAGATTAATTTTAGGGTTGAGGGTTTAGGGGTTTAGGGTTTAGGGGTTTAGGGTTTAGATTTAGGATCACGATTCGGATCGGGTCAAATGTACCGCGATGCATGCAGGGTGCATGGCATACAGGGTTGATGTGTAATTTGGAAATAGCAGGACTTCCGGCTTAGGGTTCGGGTGTGACTCAGAAGACGGGTTCCAGGGAATGGGTCCCATGTACCGACAACATATCCCCAAACATAGACCGAACCTTACCTCACCGGATGCAGCAGCCATTGCATATCTAAAGAACCCACTATGCATGACAAACGTACATGTACACAGTGTTACTGTACACACCATGGTAACTAAAAACACATGTATTTCTGGTTGCATGTAGAAAGTATACATGCATGCCATGCGTGTGAATGTGTGAATATGCAGAAACTCTTCTCGATTGTTGCGGGTACATAGCATACTATAGCCAAGGAGATTACAGTAGCCGGAGAGATGATGTCGGCGAAGTACTGCATGCTGATAGCGACTGCAGTGGAG